CCTGGGGTCACAGACATGTGCTATCATAGCTGGCAAAGAAATATAATTTTAATTGGTTTGTGGGGAAAGTAAATTTTTTAAAAATTCTTGGAGAGGCTGGGAGTGTGGCTCAGCTGGCAGAGTGCTTCCTTATTGTGTTTGTGGTTCTGGGTTCAATTCCCGGGCAGGGATCACAAGTTCAAGGTCATCTTTAGCTACAAAGTAAGATGGAGGCCGGTTTGGGATACTTGAGACCCTGCCTCAGGACAACAACAATAAAAAAGAATGCATTGGCCCGAGCCTAGCCCTCCTAATGTGGATCTCAAGCATGGCTAGATCCAGCCTAAGTGATGACATCAGTTACCTGTCAATCTCATTTTCCTCTGCCACCCTCTGCATTGGTCCAAGAGGAGGTAAAGAGTGTTTGGGGGCTTGCATCCTGCCAGCCAACAAACCCTTCAGGAAAATACTGCCTATTTCCAGATCGTCCCAGCCACGGGGCAGGGGTAGCTCCGGTACTCATTTGGATTTAACAGCCACCATGACTGGCTAAACCTGGGCCGTGTATACATGACCAGGGGGGTTGTGGCAATCCTGCTGGAACCCCAGATACTGAGAGTAGAAGGGAGGGTCCCCCCAGAAGAAGGCAGCATTAGGGAAGGCAAAGTTGGACCCACCCCCGGGGTTTCCTAGGACCCCAGACCCCTACCTTAGCACTTTGTCCCTCTCAGGACAATATTCCCAAACCTCTGTCCTCTACATCCATGGGTCACAGCCTTCTAGGTCTCAGGCATTTTTGTCTTAGTTAGGGTTACTATTATGTGGTTACTATTACACCATGACCAAAACCAAGTTGAAGAGGAAAGGGTTTATTCGGTTTACACTTCCACATCCACAGTCCATCACTGAAGGAAGTCAGGACAGGAACTCAAGCAGGACAGGAACCTGGAGGCAGGAGCTGATGCAGAGGCCATGGAGGGTGCTGCTTACTGGCTTGCTCTCCATGGCTTGCTCTGCCTGCTTTTCTTATAGAACCCAGGACTACCAGCCTAGGGATGGTACCACCCACTATGGGCCGGGCCTTCCCTTATCAATCACTAATTAAGAAAATGCTCTATAGACTTGTGTCCAGCCTGATCTTGTGGAGGTTTCCTCCTCTGGGATGAGTTTAACGTGTGTCAAGGTGACATAAACCTAGCCAGTACAAGTGCACGCCTTTAATCCCAGCACTCAGGAGGTAGAGGTAGATGGATCTCTGTGAGTTTGAGGCCAGCCTGGGCTACAAAGCGAGATCCAGGACAGGCACCAAAACAACACAGAGAAACCTTGTCTCAAAAACAAACAAACAGGCAAACAAACAGGGACTGGAGAGATGGCTCAGAGGTTAAGAGCACTGACTGCTCTTCCAGAGGTCCTGAGTTCAATTCCCAGCAACCACATGGTGGCTCACAACCATCTGAAATGAGATTTGGCACCCTCTTCTGGCCTGCAAGCATGCATGTAGGCAGAACACTGTATATATAATAAATAAATAAATCTTTAAAAAAAAGAAAGAAAGAAAAAGAAAAAAAAAGAAAAGAAAAATCTTGTCTACTCACTGACAAGAAGGCCACAGGCATGGGTTGCAAGAGAGGAGAGTGAGGTCTAGAGAGGCCATTTGCTCAAGGTCACAGGCTGCCAGGGTCACTCACAGCTAAAGATACTGTCACCATCTGGGACCTCACAAGGCCCCACCTACTGCAGCCCCACCTACGCCCATGAGGGCACTTGTGAAGCTGTGCTCAGAAAATCCAGCCTCCTTCAACTTCAGTCTAAGCACATAAGCTGGAAGATGGGGGAAGGAGCTGGGGAGACCAGGGCCCTCCTGGGACTGTTTGCCAAGGACTAGACCCTCCACAGTTCAGGCAGGTGAGCATGTAGACATCACCAACCTGAGACCAGGAGTTGGCTCTGGCTTGGCCCAGCAAGCTCACCAAGGAGAGGCAGCTGAAGGACACTTCCCTCCAGAGTTCCCTGGCCCAGGGTGCTTGCCCTCAGGAAGCCTGGGAGCAACGTGGCCATATTCCCAGAGAGGAGCACACTCCTCCTTGCCCACCTGGTTCTTGGATCTTGCTGGACTGTAATTGCTGTGGGCAGAATGCTCCAGAAAGTAGGCGGAGTGATTTGGGAGTTCCTAGACCTGTAGGAGGGTGCCAACGGTAGAGGAGACCCTCAGTGTGCCCTTTCAGTGTCTGTGGCTCTGACATTCTGCTAAGGGAAGTCTCTTCCTTCCTGTGCTGTGTGGCAACAGACACCTTTAATCCCAGCACGCAGGAGGCAGAGGCAAGTGGGTCTCTGTGAGTTCAAAGCCAGCCTGGATTCGGTCTAGCCAAGGACTAGGGAGACCCTAGACCTTGTCTAAAATAAAAATGGGGGTTGGGAGGAGTGCTTGTTCAAGGTCAGCTAGCGTCAGACAATTAAGGGTTTGTTTTTCTCCATGCCTCTGTGGTCCCTCAGTCCAGCTTGCCTGTGACCTCAGAGCGGCCTTCCCATCTGCCACCTCTCCATCTCCATCCCTTGGCTTTCCGTCCTAGCACACCCCACTACAGGTAACTCTTGTTAGTTTGTCTGCACTAACACCCCTTTGTGTCTGCTCCTTCTTCTCTCCTATTGATACTCTCCCCATCTAGGGACGAAGATGAATAGCCAGGCTTGATTCCTATTGGCTTCTGACTCTCCCTATCCCTTAGCCAGTGCCCAGCCCATGTTTATGGGGCCTCAATCCCACCAATATGGATAGCAAGTGAGCTATGCTTCCCAAAGACCAGTCCAAACAGGAGCAAGTATCACCCACTGCCTGGATCTTGTCCCTAAGCCCTTCTGCTTCTGCCCCTACAACTCAGCTGTCATGGCCCTAGTAGAAGACTGTGTCCCCTTGCCTGCTGGCACTTCTGAGGAGAGAAGAGAGCTGGTCTGAGCCTGGCAGGGAGGGAGGAGGGGAGCAAAGCCTATGAGCTGGCAGACAGAGGGCGTGTGTTCCTCTGCCAGCACACTTCCTGGGTTTCCATTGCAGGAAGTTTGGCACCTGCCTATCGGTGCCACTGATACCAAGGCTGGTGCAGGCGACTTTTAGCCAGGCCAGTCCCCCAACTGGGACCAGCAGGAGGAGGTGAAACAGAGGCCAGAAGTGCAGGACAGCCGGTGAGTGGTAGCTGCTGGATCCCCCCATACTGTCTCCCAAGCATAGAGTGGATGCAGGGAAGCTGGGGTCCTAGATTTAGTCCCTTTGACCTTGGGTAAGACCTTAAGTCAACCCCTCGGTGCCTCATTGTCCCACTGGATGGAGCGGTGGGGTAGATGGGTAGACTGGGGAATAGGGTGGAAGTACGGAGAACGGGCTGGTTCCGTTTGACTTACCAGGGTTTTGAGGTTCTGCAGCTAGAAGTGTCTGAACCCCTGCATGTGGCACCCTCCTTTTCCAACAGAGGCTGTAAGAGTCTTCACACCTGTTACAGAGACCACATTGCCAGGTTGGGAACGTCCCTCAGGGGCCCTTGGGCACGGGTAGCCTCCATGTAGTACCGGGCTCCATCCTTGGCTCTTATCTGGGGACGGTGGCAGCGGTCCAGCCTCTGGGACTAGCAGATCCGTGGGCCTGAGGGGTGCCCTCTGGTCTGGCCTGAATCCAGCCTTGCCCCTTGCCCCTTGCCCCTTGCCCCTTGTCCCTTGCACAACCCTTGATCCCCACCAGCTTCAGCGTCTGGTCTGTGGGGTGAGACCTATCAGTCCTGGAGTTGAGTCCGGAAGGGTTAAATGAAGGTTTGAAAGGGGCACAAGGGAAGCTTCTAGAAATGGCCCTGCTGTAGGACTGTCTGTGTTCCTCCACACTGGCGGCAAGAACCAGATGCAAAAAGCTGGTGACACACGGGCTCTTATAGGGGTGTGGGGCTCCGTGGGGAGGGGGAAGGGGAGGATGCAGCTGAGCACCAAGGCACCCCCACTCTGACCTCCCGGGGTGGGGGTCCCTTCAGCAGCAATCCCAGGACCACTTTGAGGAGTGATTGGCTGTGGGCTACAGAAGGGGACCCGATCCTGCCTGGCTGCCCCCCAGATGACTCTCCCCTGCCCCGCTCCCCCATTGTGGCTTTAATCAAAAGAACAATCTGCTAGCTCGCCTGGGAATCAGACCCAGATTCCTTTCCCCAGCAATGTCCTGAGGCCTCTGGGGACCTGGGCAGCCCGGCCCAGCCCCAACCTAGGCCCCAGGGCTCAGGGCTCAGAGCGCAGGGCTCCACTTCTCCAGGGGCCAGTAACAGGGCCAGGAAGCAAACAGGTGACATGATTGTCTCCCCCTGGTCTCCTGTTGGGGCCTCCTCCCACTGTAGGACCTGAGATCCAGGATTAATAGGCTCAAACAGGCACTGACAGCCCAGGACAACAGACCCAGGTGACTTGCCTCACTGGGGTCTCTGGGGACCCCCTACCCCAGGCATTCCTTGAAAAAGCCCCCACACCCCCAGCCTATGTTAGCTCCTGATTCTCTTAGTATTATGGCTTTAACTCCTGACCAAGTTGAAGATGTGGGCAGTGGGGACCCCCTTTTAGGGATGAAAGAACCTGAGGTTTAGGGAGATGGGGTAACAGCCCCAGGTCGTGCGTCTAGCCTCACTCAGGACCCTGAAGGATCTCAGAGCCAACTGGGTGTAAGTACCCCTCCCCACCAGATGGGGCAGGTGGAGCCGCTCATCCAGGTGACCTAGGGGGACGGTGGCTAAGGATCCCCCGAGTGCACGGTAGGGGTGGGCAACGGAGGAGGAGGAGCCACGGGAAGGGGGAGGAGTGGCGGGAACAAAAGGAGGGGGCGCGGCCGCAGGTGGGGGGGCAGGTAGGACGAGCCCGCGCCCCCTCCCCGAGCGTCACCTTTTATGGTAAGGCGCGCGGGGCGGCGGGGCGGAGGGAGGCCGGGGCGGGAGCGAGGGGCGGAGGCGCAGCGCTGTCGGAGGCCGGGGCATGGGGCGCGCAGCAGGTAAGCGGGTGCGGCGTGGGGGTCCCAGCCGTGCGCCCCAGGCAGGGTCACCCACAGGTGGCCGCATGGGCAACTCTCGGCCACCGCGCTGGACCCAGCCTGGCGCTGCTGGGGGCCTCGGGGCGTACTAACACAGTACTAACACTGTGTTCTCTTGTCCCTGGGAGTCCCAGGATTTCAGCTTTGGGGGACTCCAGGAGGTTGAGTGCGGGTCCGGCACGGTGGGGTCATGTCCTTGCTCTGAAGTGGGACGGGGCGAGCAGGGCGGAAGCTCCTGCACAAAGGACAGCGTTCTGCACATGGATTGAATTATAATTGCCGCAGTGACCCGGCCAGCTGCCCCGCTCCGCTGCTGTTCCAGGGCGTGCGCGAGGGGTGTGGGGGGTTCCCGAGCTCCCATGGCCCTGGAGCTCTGTTCCCAGCTCCAGTCAGGAGAGGCGAAGGAGGGTCCTGGGGTCTCCTCGCCCGGCCTGGCACGGTGTGGGAATGGACGATCCCCAAGGTGTGTGCAGCTACTCCCTCTTCTCTAGCCCAGACCTGAGGTCCCAAGGGACAGGCTGGGCAGCGCCCAGATTCCTGCTCTCAACAATGGAGACCACTGTCCTCCAGCCCCAGGGCTCCGCCTGCCCTCCTGGGCTGAATGTCCAGCTGGTCTCCTCGCAGCCACCCTCCAGGGCAGATTTCTCTTTACTTGATGACTAAAACACCAGGCCCAGAGAGGTTGAGCGACTGTATCAAGGTCACCCAGTACGAGCCATGGCGGGGGAGAACCCAGCTCTGTGCCTCTTCCTTCTCTAGAGTAGGAAAGAAGGTGAGACCCCCTACCCTTTTGAGACTGCAAGGTGTCTTGTGGGAGTGAGTGGGGACATAGACTCTCCCTTTCTCCTCCAGCAAAGTTTAATTCTGGCCCCAAACTTAGATGCTTTGTGGGGCTGTGTGAAAGGGCGATGCTTAGAAGTGACTCCTAGGTGGCTTTAGAAGTGTGGGCAAAGGGTTAGGAACGAGGGGACTACTCCAGGCAGCCAGCACATCCCTTGCCAGGGGTTGTAGCCTCAAGCCGGCCCTGGCTGACTGGTTGGCCGGCTCTCAGCCTCCTTCCTTCCTCTTGACAGGAAATGACTTTCCTTCCCTTTGTTCCTACTTTCTCCGCTTACCCAACTGGATCTGGGTGTCTGATTTGCCCTCGGGGGAGGAAGGATGGGGGTGGAGGGTCGGCTGGGAAGTTGTCATACAGCGCCTCCCCCCATCCAGGGTGAACTCAGGGGCGGTGGGACCAGAGGGAAGCGCCAGCAGGCTTTCCTTATGGGACCTGACAGGGCTTTGAAATTCCCAGCGCTGCTCCATCCACAGGCCCGAGGTCCCCAGGGCTGCTTGACAACGATAGGGGCGGGTATGGCTGCCCAGCTGTGAACATCTGGCCTCCATGCTGGATGTTTCAGAGAAAGCAGGCAGAATGGAGTGGGGGTCAGACTAGGGGGGGAAGGAGGTGGGGAGGGTTCCCGAAGAGCCACAGCCTGTCCCAGGGGACCCGCCTAGAATGTGTTGACTGCAAGAAACTGATCTGGATTGGGTCATTTGGGGGAAGGGGAGGAGCTTGGGGTGGGGGAGGAGGCTTGTACGGTCCAGGGAAGAAAAAGTCCAAGGATGCCCATGGACTTCCATGTTGCAGGATTCTGTGATAGGATTCCAAGCCTGCTGGAGGGCCAGGGAAATGCACTTAGCTTCTTGTTGGGACCCTGTGACAGACCCTCTCTACAGCCGAGGTTTGAGGTCTGAGGTCTGCGCTCTTGGCTTTATAAAGGTCACTGTTAGGGTTTCTGGTTTGTTTTTTTTTGTTTTTTGTTTTTTTGGGGTTTTTTTTGTTTTTTCGAGACAGGGTTTCTCTGTGTAGCTTTGCGCCTTTCCTGGAACTCGCTTTGGAGACTAGGCTGGCCTTGAACTCACAGAGATCCGCCTGGCTCTGCCTCCCGAGTGCTGGGATTAAAGGCGTGCGCCACCACCGCCCGGCAGGGTTTCTGTTTTAATTCTGAAGACCACTTACAAAATAAGTTCTATTTGTGGGTCTAACTATGTAGCCCCAGGCTTGGGTTAAACTCATGGAAATCCTCCTGCTTCAGCCCCCTGAGTGCTGAGATTACAGGTGTGTATTATCATTCCTGGCTTCAAAATATTTTTTGGCCGGGTGGTGGTGGCGCACGCCTTTAATCCCAGCACTCTGCAGGCAGAGCCAGGCGGATCTCTGTGAGTTCGAGGACAGCCTGGGCTACAGAGTGAGTTCCAGGACAGGCTCCAAAGCTACACAGAGAAAGCCTGTCTCGAAAAGCAAAAAAAAATATATATATATTTTTTGAAGGGTCTCTCTGTGTAGCCCAGGCTATCTTGGAACTCATTATGTAGACCAGGCTGGCCTCATACTTACAGAGATCCACCTGCCTCTGCCTTTGGAGAGCTAGGATTAAAAGCATGCACTATCACGCCTGGTGCCCCCAGAGCCATTTTACGGGCTTTTTTCTCCCCTGTCAGCCAGCAGGAGAGTCCATGGAGGCTGATGCACCTTGAGAATCAGAGGGGAACCTGTGCGTGACCACGTGGGGTCCACGTCAGCTGTTAGCGTCTCTTGGGGCTTCCCGCCCCCTCCCCCCATGGTCCAGCCCCACTGCTGGAGACTTACCATACTCCGTCCCGATACGACCGGGCTTCAGTCGTATTGTGGTGGCCCACACAGAAAGAGGAAGGGAGATAAAGAACACATTTTTAGCCATGGGAACTATGGTTGGGTGCCAGGGAGGACTTCCGTGGCCAGTTCACCCACAGTGACCCACCTAGGCCTGGGCCCCGGAGGTTGCTCTCTTCAGGAACCGCCTGCCCTTCCCAGAATGAAGGTGCCTCCTCTGCCCAGATCTGTGCTTCCACGCCGGCTCTGTAAACTGCTTTCTGACTCTTGATGCGGACAGCTGAAGGCAGGCCAGGTGACCTGAGGGTCTCGGACACGTGCATAGTGAGCCAGCAGGTCCTGGGACAAGCTGTCCTCACCCCCGAGGAAGCCACAGATCGCCCCAGGGTGGGAGTCAGGGGAGGCTTCGTGGAGGAGGTGAGGTTTGAACTGGATCTCAGAGAGCTGAAATTAACTCTGTAGGAACAGAAAGGGGAAAGCTGACTGGATCCTCCAACAGAGAAAAACAGTCTTGGGGAAGGAAGGGCTAAGTGGTTAAAAATAATTTGAGGGGCCAGGTGCATGGTGGTGCACGCCTTTAATCCCAGGGAGGCAGAGGCAGGTAGATCTCTTGAGTTCAAGGCTAGCCTGGTCTACAAAGAGAAACCTTGTCTTGAAAAACCAAAAATAAATAATAAAATAATAATAACTTGAGGTGGGTTGGGGTTTGGCTCAGTGGTAGAGCATGTACCTTATATGAACAAGGTCCCAAGGCCCTCCCCAACATCCGAGAGATGGGCAGGATTGGGGGAGGTTGAAGCCACGGAAGCTCAGACATTTTTTTTTTTATCCTTCTGAGGGTGGTGGTGCACGCCTTTAATCCCAGCACTTGGGAGGCAGAAGCAGGTGGATCTCTAAGTTCTTGGCCAGCCTGGCCTATATAGTGAGTTCCAGGACAGCTAGGGCTACACAGAGAAACCCTGTCTCAAAAAAAAATTTTTTTTCCTTTTTTGTCTTTTGGTTTTTTCGAGACAGGGTTTCTCTGTGTAACAGCTCTAGCTCATTCTGTAGACCAGTCTGGCCCCGAACTCAGAGAGATCGGTCTGTCTCTGTCTTCTGAGTGCTGTGATTAAAGGCGTGTGTCACCACTGCCCAGCTTCAAAAACGCCTTTAAGCAGAAGAGAAGCAATCAGATTTATGTTCTGGAAAGATTAGGGTTAGGAGGTGGGTAGGAGACCAGCCATCTACAGACTCATGCACACACACACACACACACACACACACACACACACACACGCACGCACGCACGCGCACACACACACACACACACACACACACACACACACACACACACACACACACACACGGGGTCCTGAAGCAGGGCATGGTTTTGGAAATGGGACAGAGTAAAAATTCTACCCTGAGGCAGAGCCAAGCATGTGCTGGTTTGGGGGCTGAATGGAGAGGGCAGAAAAGAACTGAGCAGTCAAGTGCATGGCTCTGGGCTAAAATGCCAACTCCAGTGCTGTGTGACCCAAGGGACTTGACATCTCTGAGTCTTAGTTTTCTCACCCACAAGATTGGGTGATAACAGGGTGTTGTTGGGTGCTTGGGGCAGCATGGGAACAGAGTAGGTCCTGTGTCTTTTATTCATCTGGTCACTTTTTTTTTTTAATCTCATCCCTCTTATTTCCCTGTTTCCTTCAGTGGAGCTGGCCTGAACCTTGGACCTTGTCTTCCAACAGAATTGGTATCTCAGGTGAGGGAGGGGCAGTTGCCAGGTGTCAGAGCCTGCCTCTGTCAGCTGCCTGGGCTGGGTTCTGGAGGAGGTGGCCAGGGAAGGTGACCTCTGAGTCGCTGCAGGGCTGTCCATAGGCCACTGGGAGGGGCCTGCCGGGTGTGTGGGCCCCTGTGACCTGACCACCTGGTGGCCACCTGGCCTCTCTGAAGGCTGTCCCCTGCCCCTCTTACCTCCCTTCCCTTCTCGCTGTGCAACCCAGGCTGGCCTAGAACTCACTGTTCTCCTCCCTCAGTCCTGTCTGGTGGAGTTGGGTGTTGGGCTGGGCCCACCAGTACAGCGAGGTTTCTCTTGAGAGCATGGAGGCTCTGAGAAAGTTCTGTGGCCAGCGGGGTACCCTGTCAACCAGAACCCCTGTGCCCCCAGCCCCAGCAGAAGCCGATCATGGCCTCCAAGCCTGAGAAGAGGGTGGCCTCCTCTGTGTTCATCACCCTGGCGCCCCCACGCCGTGACGTGGCTGTGACTGAGGCAGTGGGCCAGGCAGCTTGTGAAGCTCGACCTGCCCGGCCCTGGGAGACTCCCACGAAGACCCCTGGGGCCGGCTTGAGCAGGAACCCCAATACCTGGACACCCTCTGGCAGAACCACTGCCTCGCCCCCTGCAGCCCCACCCCGGCTCTCCAATGGAGGTAAGAGTGGCCCTAAGGGGACCAGGACAGAGACAGAACCAAGGCAGGGAGGAAAAGGCAGGCTCGGGGCTATGGTGTGTGGTGTGTGGTGTGTGGTGTGTGTGTGTGTGTGTGTGTGTGTGTGTGTGTGTGTGTGTGTGTGTGTGAGACATGCGGAGGTGAGAGGAAAGCCTGAGCAGTGGGAGGAAAGAAGCAGGAGAGGATCCCAGGGATTGAACTCCAGCTGTCACACTGGGCGTTAAGTACTTTATGGGCTGAGCCACCTCACACCTCTCCCTGATTACTGAACTTCCTCAGCTCACTGTCCCAGACAGAAGTGAGTTCTAGCTAGGAGAGGACACAGCCTTGTGGTGCCTCTGAGAAAGCTGGATCCTGACTCACAAGCTTGCATAGAGCGTGGCTCCCAGGTTCCCACACTTCCAGCGGGTCAGTCACACCTCGTCACCTCTGGGCTTGTTCCAACACAGCTGGGCCCCACCTCAAAGCTGGAGCTGAGGCTTTAGTTTGCATTTTTTCTGCGTTTCTGGGTGGTTATTACACTTTGTGAATCTTTATTTTTATTTACTTGTTTATTTATGGGTTTTCAAGACAGGGTTTCTCTGTGCAGCCCAGTCTGTCCTGAAACTCACTCTGTAGACCAGGCTGGCCTCCAACTCACAGAAATCCACCTGCATCTGTTTCCTGAGCGCCTGTCTGCTGTTCTATATGTGCACTATGTGCATATAGTCTTTTTTTTTTTTTTTTTTTGGTTTTTCGAGACAGGGTTTCTCTGTGTAGCTTTGCGCCTTTCCTGGAACTCACTTGGTAGTCCAGGCTGGCCTCGAACTCACAGAGATCCGCCTGGCTCTGCCTCCTGAGTGCTGGGATTAAAGGCATGCGCCACCACCGCCCGGCTCATATAGTCTTTGTGAAGGCCAGAAAAGGGTGTTGGATCCCTAGAACTGCAGTTGGGAGCCTCTTGATGTGGGTGCTGGGAAACCAAACTTGGGTCCCCTGAAATGGCAGAGCTCCCTCTTAACCATGGAGCCACCCCACCAGTCCTCATTAAAAACAAAAACATGGCCGGGCGGTGGTGGCGCACGCCTTTAATCCCAGCACTCGGGAGGCAGAGCCAGGCGGATCTCTGTGAGTTCGAGGCCAGCCTGGGCTACCAAGTGAGTCCCAGGAAAGGCGCAAAGCTACACAGAGAAACCCTGTCTCGAAAAAACAAAAAAACAAAAAACAAAAAAAAAAAACATTTGTTTATTCTTTAATTTATTTATTTTATGTACATGAGTGTGTTTGCCTGTGCCGGAAGAGAAGGCTGAAAGCTCTGGGACTGCAGTTACAGACCGGTAACCGGTGTGAGCCACCATGTGGGTGCTGGAAACTGAACTCCAGTCCGCTGAAAGAGCAGCCAGTGCTCTTAACCTCTAAGCCAGGCCACCAACCCCAGATCTGTTTCGTGTGTGTGTGTGTGTGTGTGTGTGTGTGTGTGTGTGTGTGTGTGTGTGTGTATCTGTGTGTGGGTTTGTGCACGTGAGTGCAGTACTAACAGAGTCCAGAAGAGGGTGTAGGATCCCCTGGAACTGGAGCTACAGGTGGCTATGAGCTGCCTGATGTGGTTCTGGGACTTGAACTCCAATCCTCTGTAAGAGCAGTACATGGGCCGGGCGGTGGCTCACGCCTTTAATCCCAGCACTCGGGAGGCAGAGCCAGGCGGATCTCTATGAGTTCGAGGCCAGCCTGGTCTCCAAAGCGAGTTCCAGAAAAGGTGCAAAACTACACAGAGAAACCCTGTCTTGAAAAAACCAAAAAAAAAAAAAAAAAAGAGCAATACATGGGTTAAATGCTGAGCTACCTCTTCAGCCTCTTCAGTTCTCCAGTCCCCTTTTTTTATTCATTTTAAATTACATTTATTTATCGTATGTGTGCCATGGCATTTGTATGTGAGCTCAGAGAACAACTTGTAGGAGTCCATTCTCTCCCTCCACCTTGTAGGCCCTGGGAATGGAACTCAGGTCCGCAGGCTTGGCAGCAAGCACCTTTGCCCACTGACCAATGGCACTGTCCCACAAAATACACTTTCACTGACCCGTGGTAATTGTCCATGTTTATGGGGTACTGTATCATGTTTTACAGCTTGTAGACAGCATGTTATCATCAAGTTAAGGTAATTAGCGTATCCATTGCCTCAAATGCTTATTTCTTTGTGGCGGGAACGTTCAGAGTCCTGTTAGCTGTTTTGAAATGTACGATAGACTGTTGCCAAGCGCAGTGGGAGCTTTTCTCCCTCCCGGTGTGGAGACACAGGCCTGAAATCCCAGCTCTTGGGGGGCTGAGGAAGGAGGGTTGGGACAGAAAAGGGGGAGAAGGGAGGAGAGCTGAGCTTTCCTTCCACGCAGCCTCACCCCGAACCTGCCAATGCTCTGAATGAGTAGAGGACACTTGCTGTGGTCGGGAGGTGAGACTTCCGTCCTGCAGCAGTGATCTAAGTCTGGCCCTAGACCAGGAGCTGGAGGTGGCCCAGCCCCCAGCCATCTGTGTTTAAACAGGCACCCCCACCCCATGATGCTGCCCGTCTGCTGCTTATTTGGGGCCCCAGTCTAGAACACACATCCATCTGTAAGGTCCCTTCAGCCCTGGGGAGGGGTGGGGTGGGCTAGGAAGTCTGACCCCAGAGAAGTGACTGTGGGAATTAGCTGGGCATGGGCCTGGTGCTAGAGCCCAGGGCTTCAGGCTCCGGAAGTCGAGAGCTTTCTGCACTTGGCTTTTGTCCTTCCGTGCTCATCGTCTTCCTCCACCTTTATTTATGTGTATATGTGTGTGTATGTATGTATGTATATGTATGTGTATATGTGTATGTATGTGTGTGTGTATGTATGTATATGTGTGTGTGTGTGTATGTATATGTGTGTGTGTGTATGTATGTATATGTGTGTGTGTATGTATGTATGTATGTATGTATGTATATGTGTGTATGTATGTATATGTGTATATGTGTGTGTATGTATATGTATGTATGTATGTATATGTATTTGTATATGTGTATGTATGTGTATATGTGTATGTATGTGTATGTGTGTGTATGTATGTATGTATGTATGTATGTATATGTGTGTATGTGTATGTGTGTATGTGTGTATGTATGTATATGTATGTATGTATGTATATGTATTTGTATATGTGTATGTATGTGTATATGTGTATGTATGTGTATGTGTGTATGTGTATGTATGTATGTGTACATGTGTATGTATGTATGTGTATGTGTGTGTATGTATATGTGTATCTGTGTGTATGTATGTATGTGTATGTATGTATGTATATGTATTTGTATATGTGTATGTATGTGTATATGTGTATGTATGTGTATGTGTGTATGTGTATGTATGTATGTGTATGTGTGTGTATATGTATGTGTATGTATCTGTGTATGTATGTATGTGTATATGTGTATGTATGTGTATGTGTGTATGTATGTATGTATGTATGTGTATGTGTGTGTATATGTATGTGTATGTATCTGTGTATGTATGTATGTATGTATGTATGTATATGTGTGTATGTATGTATATGTGTATATGTGTATGTGTGTATGTGTGTATGTATGTGTATTTGTATATGTGTATATGTGTATGTATGTGTATGTGTATATGTGTATGTATGTATGTATGTGTACATGTGTATGTATGTATGTGTATGTGTGTGTGTATGTATATGTGTATCTGTGTGTATGTATGTATGTGTATGTGTATGTATCTGTGTATGTATGTGTATATGCACATTATGTATATGTGTATATGTGTATTATGTATATGTGTATGTGTATATGTGTATGCCACAGGTAAGAGGGCAACTTGGAGGACTGTTCTTGTCCATCCTCTGGGTCCTAAGGACCGAAGAATTCAGGTCAGGTTTTCAGGCTTCGTAGCAAGTTTCTTTCCCACGAAGCCACCTCGATGGTCCATCCTCTGCCTCCTCTTCCTTTTCTGTTTGTTTTTCTTTGGTTGGTTGTTTGGTTATTGGTTGGTTTTGTTTGTTTAAACATATTCTTGTTTTGTTTTGTTTTTGTTTATTTATTTGTTTTTACATCCCAACCAAAGTTTCCTCTCCCTCCCCTCCACCTCCTTCTCCCCTTCCCCACCCCAGCCCTCCTCCACTGATTCTCTTCAGATACTGGTGGGCTCCCATGGATATCAGCCAGCTATGGAATATCAAGTTGCAACGAGACTAGGCACCTCCTCTTCTATTAAGGCTGGATGAGGGGCTGGAGAGATGGCTCAGAGGTTAAGAGCACTGGCTGCTCTTCCATAGGTCCTGAGTTCAATTCCCAGCAACCACATGGTGGCTCACAGCCATCTGTAATGAGATCTGGTGCTCTCGCCTGGCCTACAGGGACACATGCAGACAGAACACTGCATACATAATAAATAAATATATATATTTTTTAAAAAGACTGAATGAGACAATCTGGTAGGAGGAAAGGGTCCCCAAAGCAGGCAACAGAGTCAGAGACAACCCCTGCTCCTACTTAGGAGTCTTACAAGGAGACCAAGTTACATCATTTAGCACATATTCAGAGGGCCTAGGTACTGACCCATGCAGACTTCCTGGTTGTCGGTTCAGTCTCTGTGAGGTCCTGTGAGCCCAGGTTAGTTGGTGCTGTGAGTTTTCTTGTGGTATATGTTCTTAATATACAGACCAAGCTAGCCTGGAGCTCACAGAGATCCATCCGCCTCTGCCTCCCATGCCCTGGGGATTAAAGACCTGTGCCACCATGCCGGCCTCACTGGGCCACTATTAACAGTGCTCGTCCTGTACCTCACAGTGACAGTAGCCATCACAGTTCCTTCCTGAGACCCCTCTTACCCTGGCCCCACCCATACCTTGTCACCTTCATGAAGGGACCTGGCACCCTACTGGTTGCAGTCTGTGATCTTGGTGGTGATGGTGGTTCGTGAACAGAGGAAGATGATGGGCTATGGCAGTGGTGGCCAAGCCTGCCCCTCCTCTATCCCCCAGCGACACAGAAGCCATTGCCCAACAAGCAGTCTTTAGGATCCAAGGCCCTAAATCTCCCGCTCCAGCCTCCACCACAGAGTTCACTCAGGGGAGCCCACGCTACCTGTGCTGGTAGTGGGATGGTCCTGTGCCATGTCTGACCTGAGGTTCTGTGTGCTGTCTCATGTGGATGTAGCTGGGTTGGTAGAGTGCTTGCTTAGCTTATACACACACACACACACACACACACACACACACACACACACACACACAAAGGAACCTACATGGAAGTAGGAAGAGCCTACCTCTCCAGATCCAGTTTCAACTGGTCATCAAGATTTAATCTGTTCCTTCTTTTCCTGCCTCTCCACCCAATGCTGGGGTTATAGACAAGGGTCATGGAGCCCAAGCCAACCTCTCCTGCCTCAGTTTCCAAGTGTAGTACCACCGTGCCCAGCTTTCTTCTTCTTTTCTTTATCCTGCACTACCCCCACCCTGACAGGGGTTCTCTGTGTAGCCCTGGCTGTCCTGGAACTCACTCTGTAGACCAGGCTGGCCTCGAACTCAGAGATCCTCCTGCCGCTGCCTCCCGAGTGCTGGGATTAAAGGTGTGTGCCACCACCTGGCATTGTGCACTTTCCAAAGGAAAATTTAAGACCCAAACAGTTGACGCTCTTGCCTAAGGACCCCCAGCAAGCCAGTGGCAGCAGCCCAGGGTGGGACAAAGTCTGGAGCCAGACTGAGCCTTTACACTGCTGCTTGGCCTTCTGGGTGAGTAGACCTTGTGCCCTGTGGGGGTTCTGGGCAACCCATGTCTTCTTCCGCTGTAGGATGCTCTCCCCCACCTCCTTCCCTGAATGATGAGGACCTCGACCTCCTCCCGCCTCCTCCCCCACCGCCTTCGGCCTACCTGCCTCTCCCAGAAGAGGAGCCTCCTGCCCTGACTGGGACATCACTCATTTCCGACTTGGAACAACTACACCTGCCCCCGCCCCCACCTCCGCCCCTACCACAGGTACTGCTAGTGTCCCCCAGCCTCCTCGGCCCCCTGGGTGGGTGGGGACCTGGGCCTTCCCAGCGTTATCAAGATGGGTGTGGTTTGGTCCCTTCTGCTTCAAGGCAGTCGGTCTTCAAAGCTCTTCCAAATCCCAAAGCTGGTAGGAACTGTTTGGGATTTTCAAAGTCCGTGGAGAGACACGTGTCGTGTCCCTCCCCACCCCCCACCCCCCCACTCCCCCACCCCCACCCCCGCCTACTTTGTTCCTTAGTTACCCACTCTGCTCCAAGACATGTGCTGTTTCTGACTCAAATCTCCACATTGCATAAGAAGCCAATTAATCCTCTGCCCTTCATAGAGAGGGCTGTCGATGTGAGTGGTGTCCTGGGTCAAGGTCTATGTCACCTCCAGCTCAGTGTTGATGGGAAGGACACATCATCCTCGAGATGTTCTCAGAAACAGGAGTCAAGCTGGGTCTGATGGTTGTGGGACCATAATCCCAGACACTGAGGAGGCTGAGGCAGATTGATCATAAGGCCTAGCCTGGCCTACAAAGTGAGTTCAAGGCCAGCCTGGGCAACTTAGTGAGACCCTGTCTGAACTAAAAGTTAGCAAAAAGGTTGGAGATATAGTTAGTTCAGTGATAGAGTGTTTACTTAGAAAGCATGAGAAAACCACTTTGGTAGAGGGAGCCCTAGGCAAGGAGCAGGGAGGTCCTGACTCTTGCTGCCACGGTAACCTTCCTGCTACGCTATAGAGGCAAGACACTTGCATTTCCAGCCTCAGTTTCCTCATCTGTACAATGGGACTAATTGTACTTGGAGCCACCCAGACAAAGAGCCAAGCTGGGAGGGTCCGGTGGGGTCCCCATCAGCTGACCCCTCTCCTATCTCCTCAATCTGTGTCCCCACAGGCTCTACCAAAGGGATCCTCTGTCCGGCCTCAGCCCAGTCACCTCAGACCCTCGGAAGAGGAGCTACCTCCTCCTCCAGAAGAACCTGTCACGTTTCCAGAGAGAGAGGCATCCACAGGTATGGCCACGGGCCTGGTCTCCTGGTCTCCTGCGGCCAGAATGGGCTTCTCATGGGTAGTGGGGAGCAGGCACCCCCTGCTCACGTGACAGGGACTGCCCGTACAGTGTGCAGCCACTAAATGTCCATTGCTGCCATGTGCTTGCCCCTGGTTTGTTGTTGGTTTTTAGATAGGGTCTCGTGTAGTCCAGGTTAGCCTTGCATACGACATGTAGCCGAGGATGCCCTTCTCGTGTTCCACCTGCCTCATCTTTTGAGTGCTAGGATCACAGTGTGCCACTGTGCCTGGCTTCTGTGGCATGGCGGAGAGAAGCCAATGCTTCATCCATGAAAAGCACACTCTCTACGCCCGTGCGCACACGACATCCCCAAACCTTCGTCTGTGTTGAGACAAGGTCTCTTTCTAGCCAAATCTGGCCTTGGACTTGAGATCCTCCTGCCTCAGCCTCCTGCATGTCAAGATCATAGGCACCTTTAAAAAATATTTTTCTGTTTTTTTTGAGATGGGATGTCACTCTGTAGCTGGCACTAGTTGGCTTGGATCTCACTGTGAAGTCAGGCTGGCTTCAAGGTTGTGGCAATCCTCCTGCCTCAGCCTCAATGCTGGGATTACAGATGTGAGCTACCGTGCCCAGCTTTCTGTTTTTAGTTCTTTTTTCGTTGTGGGAGATGTATAGCAAAATGGCTTGTCACCAAGCCTGATGACTTCATTTCTATCCTGGGGCCCACGTGGTGAATCAGACTCTCAGGTTATTCCCTGATCACCACACAAAGTGGGCATGCAGTATACAGGTACGTACAACCAATCAATAAGCAAAAATTAAGGTTTTTCAGTCCTTTTTTCACTTGTTTATTTCACGCCTGTGTGTATGGTGCAGGAGGATTAGAAGTTAAGGTTGGGGCTGGAGAGACGGCTCAGAGGTTAAGAACACTGGCTGCTCTTCTAAATGACTGTAGTTCAATTCCCAGGACCCACATGGCAGCTCATGACTGTTTGTAACTCCAGTTCTAGGGGATCTGGTGCCCTCTTCTATTGCCAGACATTCATGTCATACACGGATATACATGCAGGCAAATACATATACATATAAAATAATAAAATATATTTTAAAGAACAAGTTTAAGGTCATCCTTAGCTACATAGTAAGTTGGGGGCTACCCTGGGCTACAGGAAAAAAAAAAACAAAAAACAAAGCCAACCAGGCATGGTGATGCACGCCTTTATTCCCTGCACTTATGAAGCAAAGATAGAAAGATGTCTGAGTTTGAGGCCAGCCTGGTCTACACAGCAAGCGTAGCTAGGGCTACACAGTGAGACCTTGTTTCTCCATACCCCACCCCACCCCCCAAACACACACACACACACACACACACACACACACACACACACACACACACACACACACACGTTTCTAATTTTGCCCCAAAGGACTGGGGGTCCTGTCTGTAGCAGCCACAGGGATGTTCCTCCTTGCTGACTTTCCCAGGGCATCTCGGAGCGGGTTTCTCATCAGAATGCGCAGCAGCTCCTCGCCCTTTTTGTAAAGCTGTGCGGCGCCCTCTTAAGAACATAGGTGTGGTGGGTTACACAGCCGCCTCCTGATGGATTTGTAGGTGGTTTCTTGCCGTAACTGCACGGAGCTGACTCACCTTACTGGGCCATTTCACCGTGTGCGGGGTTTTCTGGGGTCAATTCCTGGAAGGGGAAGTGCCCTATAAAAAGGTTGGTGTTTTTGAGTTTCCTATTTTTGTCAAATCACCTTCCTTAGTCATCCCAGCCTACGTGCGCCCACCAGCAGGGCTGAGCTGTTTTCTAGAAGCCTCGACAGCACCGTGCGCCTTGTTTAATTGAGCTGTGACGTGCTTACTCAGGTCCTGCCCCAGTCACTGAGGACACACTTGTGTCTAACGCAGTGTCCTCTTTCCTGGGCCACACACCAAGGCACAAGGGCAAATGATTTTTAAGTTCGTCATTTGTCTTTTGACTTCCACTAGATTTTGACATAAAAATTGATTTTTTTTTTTTAAAAAGGTACAGTCTTACAGTATAACCCAGGCTAGCCTGGAACTCTGTTCACCTTCATCAGCCTTCAGAATGCTGGGAGTACAGGTGTGAGCCACCATACCCGACACCGGAATCTCTTAGTATTTTTTTTCTTAAGCTTTATTTTAGGGGGGCTGGGGATATGGCTTAGTTGTTAAGAGCACTGGCTGCTCTTCTAGAGGATCCAGGTTCAATTCCCAGCGCCACATGGCAGCTCACAACTGTCTGTAACTCCAGTTCCAGGGCATCCAACACCTTCATATGGACATACATGCAGGCAAAACCACCAATGCACATAAAATAAAGATAAATTAAAAAAAAAAAAGATTGATTTCAGCCAGGCATGGTGGTGCACACCTTTAATCCCAGCACTCAAGAAGCAGAGGTAGAATCTCTGAGTTTCAAAACACCCTGGTTTCCAGAGCAATATGTTGTTATTGGCTTTTCAAGACAGGGTTTCTCTGTGTAGCCCTGGCTTTCCTGGAACTTGCTCTATAGACCAGGCTAGCTCTGAACTCAGAGATTTGCCTGCTCTGCCCTCCCGAGAGCTGGGATGTGCACCATGAAGTAAGCGCCACGAAGCCCTACTGTGCCTATCGTTTTTGATTATGTGTATGAGTGTGTCGTGTGTACTCTCATATGTATACATGCGTGCATTACCCTGGGAGTCCAGAAGAGGGTACTGGATCCCTGGAGTGATGGATAGTTGTGAGCTGACTAATGTGTGTGTGTGTGGGGGGGTTAATCTCAGGTCCTCTATAGAGCAGTGTGTATTCTTAACAGCTCCTCTCTTAGAACTCTTGTGACGTCAGTTTTTACATATAGATCCTGAATCAGGATCATCTGGGTGTTGGTATCACCACAGCCCCCCAGATGCTATTCACCTTCCTTCCTGGTACTTATCGCGACCCTCTATGTTTATCAGTTGAGGAAGGCTTTGAGGCCGGGCCCTGGGCACACTGGGCATCATATTCCGGGTGGTGATTGGGTACTGCCGTCCTGGGCCGGTGACAGCCTGTGTCTTCCCTTCCTCAGATGTCTGCGGCTTCTGTCACAAGCCCGTGTCCCCTCGAGAGCTGGCTGTGGAGGCCATGAAGAGGCAGTACCATGCCCTGTGCTTCACCTGCCGCACCTGCCGCCGCCAGCTCGCCGGGCAGAGATTCTACCAGAAGGATGGGCGCCCCCTGTGCGAACCCTGCTACGAGGTACCCGCTGCCTGTAGTCCCCCAGCTCCACACGCTGACCTCGAGCTCCTCGGAGGAGGGGCACTGCGAAGGCAGCTGAGAGTCGGAAAGGGAGAAAGCTGCAGCAGGACTCGGGTCCTGTGGCTGCTCTGTGTGTCAGCGTCCCCGCAGTGACAATAGGTAGGGCTGAGAGGTGCCAGTTCGTAGCAAGATGGCCTTGCCAAGGCGAGCCTGTGGTGAGGCCGTGCGTCCTGGCGGGAGCCTCTGGCAGGACGAACTGGCTCCCCTCGCGGCCAGCAAGCAAGAGGACGGGACCACGCCACACCCCCAGTTACACAGCCCTGCATTAGGCCCCGCCTCCTAAAGGCTCCACCACCTCCTCACAGCGCCCCCTGGAGCCCGGGCCTGATGGGCTGTTGGGGAGCATTCAGTATGCAACTGAGCCACGGTTTGGTGGCTTCAAGCGACGCCCATTTCTCTCTTTTAGTTATGGGGGTCATTGGATCCAGTCAAGGTGCCTCCTTCTCTAGTTCTGCAGGCTCTGGGGGAGGAGGCAGTTCCTTACCTTTTCCAGGTTCTTTTCAGAGTTAGGTTTGTTTGTTTCAAGACGATGTGAGGTTCCAGAGTTCAAGGTCATCCTTAGCTACAGAGTGACATGCCACCCAGTCTCAAAACTAGCAAAAAAAGAAAAGGGGGGGGGACTTTCTGGAAAGCTGTTAAGAAGGTAGTTTCTCAGGCTGAGTGTAGTTCAGTGGCAGAGTGCTTACCCCGCACACACAAGGCCCTGAATTCAATCCCTAGTACTGAAGAAGGAAAGAAACAAGGAAGGGAAGGTGGGGGGAGGGAGGGAGGGAGAGACAAAGACATGGAGGGGCTGGACACACCTCGTGGCTCAGGGTAGGCATGTCTGTGGGTTGGCTGACACAGCGGCGGCTCTCTGACCCAGGACACTCTGGAGAAGTGTGGCAAGTGCGGAGAGGTGGTCCGAGACCACGTCATCCGGGCCCTGGGCAAGGCCTTCCACCCACCCTGCTTCACGTGTGTGACCTGCGCCCGGTGCATCGGGGATGAGAGCTTTGCACTGGACAGCCAGAACCAGGTGTACTGCGTGACTGATTTCTACAGGTGGGAAAGGAGCCTGGGGCTGGGGGACTGGGAGAGGTGGGGCAGGGCTCGGGGCAGGACGCTGGCCCCGGCATCAGGGCTGGGGGCCAGGCCAGGACTTCCTACAGCTTCTGTGCCGAGAGAAACCATCTTCCTCTCGGGTTCTCCACACAACTCATGGGGCATCTGCTGGAGGCGACTCCCTTTGAGTCCCTGCACTCCGTCAGGCTCATCATCTGACGTCCTCCATGCAGTCCTCAGAGTTTACGGCCAGGGAGGACAAAGAAAGAGTGCACTTTACCAGAAGTAGAAACCGAGGCACACAGTAACCAAGGGGCAATGAAGCTTCCATCTAGGACTTGAATTGGGTGCTGGGGGTGTAGCTCAGTTGACTGAGTACCTGCCTAGCGTGCACAGAGCCCTGGGTTTGATTCCTAGCACCACAGAAACACACCATGGTGACACACATCTGTAATCCCAGCACTGTAGGGGTGAAGGGAGTCAGAAACTTAAGGTCATCCTTGGCTACCCTAGCAAGTTCAAGGTCAGCCTGGTCTATATGACAACCTAAGAAAGTAAAAAGGACTTGACTTGGGGCCCGGATTTCAGACCCTAGGCTGTGTCCCCTCCCCGTGAAGACGGAGGCAGGAGGATTAGTGCTGCCCATCTGAGGTCAGCCTGAAAATGTAGAATAAGGCCCTATCTCAAAAGATAAGCAAACAGCAGCACTCACAGGCAGATCTCTGAATTCCAGGCCAGCCTGGTCTACATACATAGCAAGTTCCAGGCCAACCAGGGCTATACAGTAAGACCCTGTCTCAAAAATAGATGAACAAAAAATAAGCAAATAAGCCTGTCAAGATGGCTCAGTGGATAAAGGAGCTTGCCACCAAGCCTGATGACCTGAGTTCAATCCCTGGAACCCACAAAGTAGAGAGAGAACTGACTCCTGCATGTTGTCCTTGAACCTCCCCATACAACTGAATAAATATGCTAAAAATTTTTAAATTAAGCAAAGTACGAGATAGTGGGTGGCCGGACCCACTAACACTCCTCTCATTCCTGACAATTACTGCCTCGGCTAATTGCACTCTGGGAAGCTAGATTCATTGCACTGATCCCTCCTCCCGCCTCTGCCAGGAAGGGTAGACATCTGTGGCTGTCTCTGCAGATTCTGTCACCTAGCAACCCGGGGAGGGGGGGTGGAGGCGCTCTGGGAGGTGAACTGGGGCCACCCCGTTTCCACCAGCTGATTTTGTTGTCAGCGTGAGCAGCTGACATTCCCGGTGCTCCCCCTCCCTCTAGGAAATTTGCCCCCATGTGCAGCATCTGTGAGAATCCCATCATCCCCGGCGACGGGAAGGATGTCTTCAAGATTGAGTGCATGGGAAGGAACTTCCATGAAAACTGTTACCGTTGTGAGGTGAGTGGAGCTGAGGAGGTTGGAAGGACTTGGCAGCCTTCCCTTGCTCATTGCCCTCAGCAGGGGCCAGGAAAAGTGGAGAAGGACACACCAGGCCCTGTTAGAGTTCAGTGTGAGCTCACATCACTGACTGTGGAAAGAGACTGTGCTCATGGTGGGGACAGCGTTGTCAGCAGGTGGGACCCCGAGGCCACCATTCTACCTCTGGTCCTTCTATTACTTGCTTTTCTGAGGGCTGGCACAGCACATGGGCCCAGATGGTTCAGGTTTATATCATTAGAAGCCCCAAGAGAACGAGAGTAGGACCCCACTCTAGGAGGGGCGTACTGTCCCAAGAAGGTTCCTGGTTGGCCTGGCATGGGTCATTGTCTGTTGCTATGATAAATGCCATAATTGAAAGCAAATTGGTTGAGAAAAAGATTCGTGAGCCACCATGTGGGAGCTGGGAATCAAACCTGGGTCCTCTGCAAGAGCAATATGTCCCCTAAACTCCTGAACCACCTCTCCAACCAAGACCTCTTCATCTTTTTTTTTTTTCTTTTCTTTTTTTTTTTGGTTTTTCAAGACAGGGTTTCTTTTTGTAGCCTTGGCTGTCCTGGAACTCACTCTGCAGACCAGGCTGGCCTCAAACTCAGAGATCTGCCTGCCTCTGCCTCCTAGGTGCTAGGATTAAAGGCATGCGCCACCACCTTGGCCAAAGACCTCATTGGGGAAAAAAAATTATGTTATGTGCATGAGATGTTTTGTCTGTTCACTCTGTGCGTACATACTGGCGAATGACGGAAGAGGGCACTGGGTATTTGGGAACTGGAGTGACAGTTGTTAATGTCATGCTGGCGCTGGGAATTGGACCTAGTCTTCCCACTGCGTCCCTGTAGTGCTGAGCTTTCTGTCTGTCCTCTGGTGAGGAAGACAACGGTGGTGGTTTTTACGTGCTCCACCTTCATGGAGAGTCCCAGAATAGGATCTCTCAATCAGCCCACGACTAATTCCAAGCTTTTATTCACTTGTATTTATTTTAAAAGATAATGGAGAGCCAAGAGGACACTGGCAGAGAAGCTGGTTGCTTCATACATAATCTAACTTTGTCAATTAGAGTTCAAGGTCTGTACAACTGATACTGGACCTTGAAAGACCCACGAGGAAGATGAAGTGCTGTTATTAGTCCGAGAGCCCTGATAAGAGTCCCTCAGAACCAGGCATTTCTAAAAACTTGGCTGAACAAATAACCCTACTTCCTGTCCACGGTCACTTTGACCGAAGTTGCCTAGTGAGTCAGGATTTGGACTCCAGGAAGTTACAGGTCAATAGGTAAGGCCCAGCCAGGCGTGGTGGCTCAAGCCTGGGCTGAATTAACCCATATATATATTTTTTTCTTTTTTTTTGAGACACCATTTTTCTGTGTAGCCCTGGCTGTCCTGGATCTCGCTCTGTAGACCAGGGTGGCCTTGAACTCACAGAGATCCACCTGCCTCTGTCACCACTGCCCAGCTAAATCAAACCCTATCTTAAACTGACCCCTAAAAACAAATGAAAAATCCCACATATGGAAAACTCAAACCACAGCAGCCTGGACCAGAACTGAGCTCTGACTCTCGCAGAAGGGACGTGTCTACATGTCCTGCCCATGGCATCCTTCACCATTCCTGCTGGCTCTCTGGACCATGTCTTTATTGCCATTATTGGAAGGGTGGCAACATCTTTATAAGTGGAAAGTGCTTTTTAATTATAAAAGACTGTCATATGCATCACCTTATTAAATCCTAATGACGTCTTGGGAGACGGCTTATTGTTCCCATTTAAGTTGAGAAAACTGAAGCTGGGCATGGTGGCAGACACCTGTCCTTCCCAGTACTGGGAGACTGAGGTGGGAAGGGGCCAGCCTGGGCTACACTGAGTTCCAGGACAGCCTGGGGTACACAGAGTTCCAGGACAGCCTGGGGTACACTGAGTTTTCCAGGACAGCCTGGGATACAATCAAAGCCAAGTTGGGTGTAGGATCGGGAGTTCAAAGTCATCCTTGGCTACATGGTTTGATGCTGGCGTCAGCTTTAACACCCTGTCTCAAAATGAAGAAGAGGAGCCGGGCGGTGGTGGTGCATCAAACCTTAATCCCAGACTCAGGAGGCAGAGGAAGGTGGATCTCTGTGAGTTCAAGGCCAGCCTGGTCTACAAAGGCAGTTCCAGGACAGCCAGGGCTACTACATAGAGAAACCCTGTCTCCGAAAAGAGAGAGAGAGAGAGAGAGATTGAGGAAGAGCTGAGTGTCACCTGGGCAGGTTCTGTGCGGGAATGGAGCCGCGTGTTTCTGTCTCCCCAGGACTGCAGTGTCCTTCTGTCTGTGGAGCCCACCGACCAAGGCTGCTACCCGCTGAACAACCATCTCTTCTGCAAGCCCTGCCACATGAAGCGGAGTGCTGCTGGGTGCTGCTAAGAACCCCCATGCCCGGCCTCTCCCTGACATGGTTTCCTCACTCAGCCTTCCTTGCATACTTTCCTTATGAGCCTCACTGGGCACACCGCTCAGTCCACAGCGTCTAGACACAAGAGCCTGAGACCCTGGGGCTTGGCCTCCTGGTACACAGCTCCCCCCACCCAGACTTTCAACTCTTCCGACTCCGCCAACCAGAAGGCCCCTCACCAGGAGATTGGGACCCTGGTTCCTCTCTAGTGCTAGCCCTGACCTATTTGTGGGGACAGGTCTCAGGATGATGCCCATATCTCTGACCATGATGCTTAGCTGCCTAGCAGAAGGTGCTGAGACCAGCTGAGCGTGTTGAGCTGAGCTGTTCCAAGTGTGCCTGCCCAGTTACCGTAGAAAGTGTATTTTAAAAATTTAGAAATTTATGCTGGGGCTGGGCGCAGAGGCAGGCGGATCTCTGAGTTCTATGCCAGCCTGGTCTACAGAGCAAGTTCCAGGACAGCCAGGGATATACAGAGACACTCTGTCTTGGAAAAAAAAGAAAGAAACAAAGAAACAAAGGAAGGAAGGAAGAAAGGAAGGGAAAGGAGAAATTTATGTTGGGCATGATGGCATACAACTTTAATCCCAGCACTTCAGAAGCAGAGGCAGGTGGATCTCTATGAGTTCCAGGCCAGCCTGATCTACAGAGTGAGTTCAGTTTAAATGATGAAAAACATTCTTTGGATTTGGAGAAAAGAAATCTTTTAATTTTTCTTCTATTTTTTTTTTCTTTTTTGGTGGAGTGAAATCAGTAAATATCTTCCCTTGGTTCATAAATGTTTAAGAATGCAACTCGGTAGCCGGGCGGTGGTGGCGCACGCCTTTAATCCCAGCACTCGGGAGGCAGAGCCAGGCGGATCTCTGTGAGTTCGAGGCCAGCCTGGGCTACCAAGTGAGTTCCAGGAAAGGCGCAAAGCTACACCGAGAAACCCTGTCTCGAAAAAACCAAAAAAAAAAAAGAATGCAACTCGGAGCCGGGCAGCAGTTACACGCCTTTAATCCCAGCACCTGGGAGGCAGAGGCAAGAGGATCTCAGAGTTTGAGGTCAGCCTGATCTACAAGGTTAGTTCCAGGACAGCCAGGGCTACATAACAAAACTCTGTCTTGAAAAACCAAAAAAGAATGCAACTCGGAGGCTGGAGAGATGGCTCGGTGGTTAAGAGCACTTGCTGCTCTTGTGAAGGACCAGAGTTCATTTCCCAGCACCCACATGAGGCTCATAAGTACTTGACCTGTAACTCCAATTCCTGGAGATCTGGTGCCCTCTACTGGTCTCTTCAGGCACCTGCATGCATGAGATGCACATATACTCAAGCACAAACACATACACATGAAAAAAAAAACCTTTAGCCAGGTGTGGTGGCACATGCCTTTAATCCCAGTACTTGGGAGGCAAAGGCAGATGGATCTCTGCATTTGAAGGCAGCCAGGGCTACACAGTGAAATGCTGTATTTTTTTTTTTAAGTAGCTTGGGTTTGGCAGTCCACATCTATGATCCTAGTGCTTTAGAGAACTACCAGAAGCTTGAGGCCTGCCAGGTCTTCATAGAATTCATAGAATGTAGCCTTGGCTACATTCAGAGACTGTGTCTCCAAGAAAAAAAATCACAGATGCATAGGAACATGAAGTAGTGACCACCCAGCCTTCCTACCTCTGGAGCAGATGCTGGAGTAGAGATGGGGTCAGGAGGAGCAGGAGGGTGGCTAGCAGCCTCCACCTGCTTCCTGGCCCTGCTGTGGGCTTTTGTGAGTGGTCCACAGACAGGGATTAAGTGCCTTTGATTTGCTAGAGAATAAAAGTGGGGCTGAGCCTCCTTCCCACAGCCTTCACAAGTTCCTCTCTCTCTCTCTCTCTCTCTCTCTCTCTCTCTCTCTCTCTCTCTCTCTCTCTCTCTCTCTCTCTCTCTCTCTCTGATGAGGTCAGGGAAAGGCATCTCCCTTTGGCCTCCCATTTGTACCTCTCAGCCAGGCCCTGCAGCTAGGCTGCCCATGACCACTGCCTCCATGAGGCCACACCCAGAGCATTCTTCCTTTTAAGGAAATTCACTTTATGGCTGGCGAGATGGCTCGCTGGTGATGGTGCTTGCCACCAAGCCTGAAGACCTGAGTTCTATCCCTGGGACCCACAGGGAAGGAGAGAACCATTCCCCATAAGTTGTCCTCTGGTTTACACATGCACGCCACGGATACACATTTGCGCACACATGCATACAGTCCACAAGTAATAGAAATGTAAAAGGGGGGAGATCACTTTGTGCTTTGTAACTTCTAAGATGCACATAGAACAAATTAAATGTTTTCTTTCCTTGCATCTTGTTTTTGTTTGGGGGGGGGTGTTTTCCTTTTGGGTTTAGTTGGTGTGAAATGGGGTCTTGTGTATCCCAGGCTGGCTGTGAACTCCCTGTGTAGTCCAGGATCACCTTGACTTCCGCTTCCCCTGTCTCCACCGCCTGTATTCTGGGGTTGTGTTTCCAGGGATCGAACCCAGAGCTACACGAGCCGCTGTCTTTAATATAGGTGCAGGCTGGAGGTGTACCACAGTGGGTTGAGTACATTAAGCATGTACTTGAGACCCTGGCTTCCAGCCCCAGCACCAAAACGAAATGTACGTGAATTGAAGCTGGTACCCACAAACAGAGAGAGGAGCTGGTAGAGTGGTGACTTGCTCCGGGACTCCTTTGAAGGACATGAATTCCCTCGCTTGGGGGTCCTGGGAGTCTGGCCTGCCCTTTGCCGCTGTGGGCCCCTGGGCTCTACCAAGGCAGATGCGGCTCACAGCCACTAGGGGGCAGCATGGGCCAACGAACTGGCTGTGGTACCCAGGTGCCAAGGTGCTCGGGCGTCTCACCAGCTTCTCTGCGCGTGGGGCGGGCAGACCGCTCCTCAGGCACATCCACGGCAGCCGCTCGCAGAAAGGCGGAGAGAGAAAACATCGCAGAAGAGTGACGTAGCCGTGAAACTTCTCCACCTGTCCCAGGAATGCGTTCTCTTGAAAGGAGACCTACAGCTGGAGATTGAGCCCCTCACTGGCCCAGACTCTCACCTGCTGGGGGCGGGAGGCACCAGTGAACCCCAGAGTGAGACCTAGCAACCTGAACCCCGAACAAAGCGCGAGCATGAGTTGCTTTAGCGCCCTGAACTTTCCCATAGTCCTGTTCCAGGGTCCCTCTCACCTGAGGCCACACCCAGGTACTTGGAGTATGACCTCACTAGCATGTGCCTGCCCCATCGGAAGGGATCAGCTGATGGTGAAGCAAGCCTGTGCATACCAGAAATCCCGGAAGCGGAGGCAGGAGGACCTAGAGTTCGAGGTCTTCTCTCTTTTCTTTTTTTAACTTTTTTATGTACATTGGTGTTTTGCCTGCGTGTGTGTGAGTGTGTCGGATTCCCTGGAACTGGAGTTACAGACAGTTGTGAGCTGCCACATGGGTGGGAACTGAGCCCGAGGCCTCTGGAACAGCAGGCAGTGCTCCTAATCACTGAGCCATCTCCCCAGCCTGTTCAAGGTCATCTTTGAGGATGTAGTAAATTCCAGGTCTGCCAGAGCTACTTTCAAAGGGTGTAAAGAGGGGCAGTGTCTGTGGCACATGCCTGAAATTCCAGAAGTCAGAGGGAAGGGGAAGGCGTACAAGGCCATCCTGAAATATGCAGAGAGAACACGTTCCCAAAACAAACAAGGACCTGTTAATCCCAATAGCCAGAATAAGACCACTACCACATTTGAGCGAAATTTGTAACAAGTTTGATTTTTATTGGAGTGCACCCATGAACTGGGCCAGCAACTGCCTCCTAAATCAGGGGAAAGAGAGCAGCCCCAAATCCATCTCTTGGGCCCCCCTTTTTTTCTTTTTCTTTAATTTAATTTATTATGTCTTTTTTTTTTTATTTAACTTATTATGTATACAGTGTTCTGCCTGCATGCATGCCTGAAGGCCAGAAGAGGGCGCCAGATATCATTACAGATGGTTGTGAGCCACCATGTGGTTGCTGGGAATTGAACTCAGGACCCCTGGAAGAGCAGCCAGTGCCAACTGCTGAGCCATCTATCCAGCCTCTCTTGAGTTTCTCTTGGGTCCCTCTTATGGAGTAAGATCACAAGTAGTTTTACAGAAGGGAGACAATGGGGCAATAAGGAAATAAAAAAAAAAAATCTTTAAAATAATGTGGTCACCCACCATGTGAGTAGGGAGGGGCCGGGGTCAGGGAGGGTAAGGGTATTCTCAACACAAATTAAGGTTTGGGGAAGGCCAGGTTCCAGGAAACAGCAACTCAACTCTCATGATAAATAGAAACTTATTTTTAAAAAATACAGCATAATGACTCCTGCCTTCAAAATGGAGTCAGGCAGGTTCCTCAGGCCTGCAAGCTGGCTCAGTGGGCAAAGGCTCTTGCTACAATGCCTGACAACCAGAGTTCAAATCCCTAATGATGAGAGAATTGACTCCTGGAAGTTGTACTCTGTTCTCTGCTTGCAAGATATGGGATGTGTGGATCTACATACATAAATACATCTAATTATGCACCATAACAAGAAGGTGGAGATGGGGAATAAATGGAGAACATAAGGGTTGGGGGAGGGTGTGAGATCCTCAGAGTAGTACTACTGTTAATGCCCCTAGTTCATCAACAAGGAAGCATCCCTTAAGAGGTAGAATAAAGACTCCCCAAGGCTACACAGGGGTTCAGGGTCAGAGATGTCCAGTGACATCTCCAAGAACTCCTTGAAAGACACACCTCAGAAACATCCATGCCATGGAGTATTCCAGAAACCATCATGCACGCAGCATAGATGTCCAAATTCAACTGAAAAATCTTTTTTTAGAAGGTCACTTTAGCTGGTGATGTGGCTCAGTTATCAGTGTATTTGCCTAACATGCATCAACCTAGGCCTTGGGACCACATAAACTGTAAACCAGGGGTGGTGGTGCACTTGGGAGATAGAGGCAGGAAGAAGTTCAAGCTCATTGTAGAGATTTTGAGGCCAGCCTGGGACACATAAGACCATATTTCCAAACACCAAACCAAATAAATAAACCTTCAGGCAAAAACCCTGAAGGTTGCTTTATGTTATTTTTAGTTTATTTTTCTTTTATTTTACCTGTATGGGTGTTTTACCTGCATGCATGTCTGTGCACCTGGTGCTTTGAAAGACCAGAAAAGGGCATCAGATCCTCTGGATCCGGAGTTGCAGACATTGTGAGCCACCAAGTGGGTGCCGGGGATTGTTCCTGGGTCCTCTGGAAGAGCAGTCTTCGCCTGCTCTTAACCGCTGCGCCATCGCTCCAGCCCCGCCTTTCACTTTTCTCCTGTAGCTCTTACCTTGGTTCTTCTTGTTGTTTTAATTTTTAGGGCTGGAGAGATGGTTAAGACTATATGCCACCCTTGCAGAGGACCTGGGTTCGGTTCCTAGCACCCACAAAGCCTCTGCCTGCCACTCCAGTGCCACGGGATCTGACACCTTCTTCTGGCCTCTGAGGGCTGCTGCACACATGGTATGCATGAGCTCACACACAAGCACACGTGTTAGTCCTAGCCCGCCTTCAGCGACTCAGTGCCAGCAGCCACATCATCACCAGCCTCCAATGTGACACTCCTGCCCTTTAAAAGGTCCTCACCATCATAGCCCACTCTCTCTCTCCTGGTCTTTCTGTCTCTGCCTCCCCTCTACCCTCCCTCAGAGGCAACCTCCCCCACAAATAAATCTTTCTCGTGAGATCTGTTGCATGGTGTGATCTTTGCAGCATACCTTGGCCCTGACCCACCAAAGTACTCCCACTGCACAAACCCTAACAACACACACACATACACATGAAAATAAATACACAAAGACATTTTTACATTTATTTCTATGGAGAGTCACCTGCGTGCCACAACTTATCCCTTGGTGTGTGTGTGTGTGTGTGTGTGTGTGTGTGTGTGTGTGTGTGTGTATGTTTGTGTGCATGGGGTGGGTGTAGCTGCTACTGCAGCTGGAGATTACTAAACTACATACATCCCCAGACTTGAGGAAAAAAAAAAGTCTTGGGTGTGCTCAGTCCCTAAGGGAGCTGAGCTCAGACCATGCACTTTAGCAAGTGTTTTGTAATGTCCTCTGCTCCCCAAGAAGGGGCCTGGCATCCGGTGTGTGTGAATCACACCACTTCTCAGAGGCTGGACTATGGACTGAACCCTTTCATGACCTGCCTTGTGTGGAAAATGCCTGGGCCTTGGTCGGAAGCGATGAGCTGTCTGCACAGCACACCCTTCCTGAGCCTTTTCCTCTTGTCTGTGGGCTGTTTTATAGCTCTGTAAATTGCAAGTGGGTGAAAATTCTATCCTGTCTGGTAGCAGTCTCCCAGCAACCTCCCCCTTGTGGAGAAGGTACCTGCTTGCACATAATTTCACTAAGCCTGACCTAAAAAGTGTCCTGTGGCTGTTCTTTGAGTTGGTGGCCACTCCCATCCAGCTCCCTCCCTCCCAACGAGTGGGAACACTTTAACCTATTTTTGTTGTTCCTGTGCTGGGATTGGAACCAGGATCAGGAGATTCTAGGTTCTACCTACGAGCTAACCTGGAAAAACCTCACTTAACACTTCCTTTACCAGGTGTTTATGGACGACTTCTTTAGAGGGTCCCTTACAGAAAGTAGGGTAACACAGTTAAAATTTACCAGCAGGAGGCAGCTGCTGCAGGGCAGCCTGGGAAAGAGCAGAGAGGAAAGGATGAGAGAGAAGTGAGTAGGGAAGAAGGTGAGGGAGGGCTGGACTCCAGTGGGAGGGACTAGGTCAAGTTCCGGTTGGCTGTGGTCCTTGACCTTTTCTGTCCCTTTAAGCTTTTTTGTTTGTTTGTTTTGTTTTGCTTTTCGAGACAGGGTTTCTCTGTGTAACAGCCCTGGCTGTCCTGGAACTCGCTGTGTAGACTAGGCTGGCCTTGAACTCACTGAGATCCGCCTGCCTCTGCCTCCCAAGTGAATGCTGGGATTAGTGGTGTGCACCACCACCGCCAGGCTCCCTTTAAGCTTTGAGGGGACCAAAGGAGGAGGATAATTGTCACGTTCCCTGTATTTCAGTTTGGGGTGAGGCTGGAAGCCATGAGAAAGGCAGCCATGTTCCCCTGGGGTTAGAGATAGACTCAGGGTCTGTCCGGTTCTTAGTCAGGTGACACAGACAGCTGATGATGCCTGAAGTCTTGCCAACAGGAGCAACCACATTTTGGAAGGCGTTGAATCTTGGCCTCCCAGAAGTGACTATCTGTGCCTGTCATTTGCACATGGAGGTGGAGGCTCCGGGTGACACCACTAGAGGATTTGGCCACTGTGGACTCCCACCACTGGGTCCTCCCGTGTCTCCATCCCGTCTAATGTAGCCCAGGCTGGCCTCCAACTCCAGCTGTGTAGGCCAGGATGACCTTGAACCTCTGATCCTTCTTCCTCACAGGTGCTGGGATTACAGGTCTGGGTACTATGTCTGGCTTTCCCATCCCCTTCAGACTCCTTCTTAAAGGCAGGGCAGTGCTGGGCAGAGAACTCAGTCTCGTGGGGTAGAAACAAGAGGAACTGCATGCTGGGCATCGGTTCCACTGGTTTCCGGAAGAGGGAGGCAGGAGATGGGGTGTGCATGGAGTACTAGGGGGACAGTGGGGCAAGGTACCTAGCGAGTGTATTCAGGACCCAGCTGACTGTCCTGGGGGAGTGGGCAGTTACAGGACAGTCAGACAATCCCCAAAATCTAAAAGATGGAGCAGCCACAAGCCTAGTAGAGTTTTAGAGACGGAAGCATGGTGGCATATGCCTATAATCCCAGCACTCGGGATACAGGGGCAAAGGGATTACCGCTGAGGCCAACCTGGTCTACACAGTGTGTTTCAGTCTAGCCTTGGACTACAAAGGGAACCCCTTTCTTGAAATTAAAAAAAAGACTCTAGAGGTGAGAAACCCCAAGGATATGGAGCCCAGCTGCCAAGAGACAGAGTTCAGAGTGGGTGGGAGTCCCTCACCAGCTGGTAGTAGCCACACCCCAGGTGCCCTGACTTCCACAACAGGGCTCTGCCTACCCCTCCCCCAGTCTATTGCCTTCCAACACCCACTTAGAGACAGCATCTGGCTGGAGGAGGGAGGGTAGAGGAATGCGGCTGTGCAGATGAATTGGGGTCAGTGTGAGGACTAGACGACCAGGGCCGGGCAGTCCTGTCCTGGGAAGGACAAGGGCCTCCAGGGGTGGCAGTTGATTTGCCCCAGATGAAGTGTGTCACCGAGTCCAAAGTTCACACTTCCTCCTTAAGTGCTTCGTTTGATCCTAACTCTGGATCCGACCTGGATTCCTGGGGGAGTGGGGGGGGGGCGGAGCTTGCTCGGGAGGGGCACCAGCTGGCCTCCTCTCCTTGCTCTGCCCTTTGGGCACGACTGGGAGGCCACGTCTGCCTACCCTCTCAGCACCCCCACACCCTCCATCCGAGGCTGGTAAGTTTCCACTGGGGCTCCTCCACAGTCTGAGTCAGGCTTGACCCGCCACCTGGAGCAGGCTGCAGGCAGTAGTGAAGCTTCCTTCTCCCGGGCCTGAGCAATGCCAGCCTCCCTGCTCTGACTGGATGCTTCTCTCCCCAGGGGCTGATCAGAAATGGCAGAGGACAGGGTTCATCAAACACTGTAACAAAAATTGCTGTAGGGCAGGGCTCCCCAGAGACCAAACTGACCAGGGAACTCCCGGAACAAGGAGCCTAGGAATCAGCAACCAGGCGGCAGTCACGGATAAAAGACCTAGCAGGTACCAGGCACGAAGATGGCGGACAGTCCTAGGAAAGTGAGTTATGTCCTTGTGTTATAGAGAGACTAATACGGAGTGCAAATGAGCATGCTGTCCACGAAGGGCCATCAGGCTCCATGTGAAGATAGACAGACAGGTGAGCTCTTCTGAGGCCAGGTGGGAAAGTGGGCAGAGGCCAGATTTTCTCCGGTGAGATAGCCTGAGGGTATGAAACAACCAAGAAGGAATGGGGTGGGGCCAGGGAAAGGAGTGGACTGCTACGGGGAAGGGAAGGGGGGAAGGGAAGGCGAGGGGCTGAGGTCGGGCTGTGGAAGGCCTGGGGGTGGGGCAGTCTCTGGTCACAGGTCCTGAACCTTAGCTACCTCCCCGACCATGTGACCTGTTTTCCTCATCTGTCCGCACACGCTGCCGCCTGCACAGGGCCGGCCCTTAGTAAATATTTGGGGAAGGAATGCAGAGCTACTTGGGAATTTGGACAGAGGTGACTTAATAGTTTGAACCAAGAGAGTCATGTGGAAATGTTAGGGCCTATTGACCTCCTAGAAATTCCTGTCATCTTCTTCCAGACCAGGTCTCATGTCTGTAAGAGTGCGAGAGGGGGCTGGGGAGATGGCTTAGCAGCTAAAAGCACTGGCTGCTCTTCCAGAGGACCTGGGTTCAATTCCCAGCACCCACATGGCAGCTCACACCTGTCTGTAACTCCAGTTCAAGGGGATCAGATATTCTCTTAGACACACATGCAGACAAAACACCCATAAACATTGAAAAAAGGAAGTTCTAGAAAAGCCAGATGTGGTGATGCACATCTTTAACAGCAGCATTCCAGGAGGCAGAGGCAAGAAGATCACTCCATGTTCAAGGTCAGTTTCAGAGTTTCAGGTAAGCCAGGATTACATGTCTAGACTCCGTCTGAAAGAGAGAGAGAGAACTATCTATGTGGCAGCTCTGTAGCACATAGTCACCCCCTTCTATTGTGAAGTAATACCCCATTGTGACAACATACCCTTTCTGCCTATCCACCCCTCAGCTGACAGACAAGGCCTGTTCTCACAGGTAGCTATTACAAAGAGGGCCACTGTGGACATTCCCGTGCAGGCTGTGTGTGTGGATAAATGTTTTCCTACCTCCTGAGTATACACCACCAGTGGAATTGCTGGGTCCTATGGTACCCCTTTCTGTACTTCTTTATTATCTCAATTCCTTAGAATAGACAGATGATACTTTTATGATAAACCTAAAGCTGGTGGTGGTGGCTCACATCTCTAATCTCAGCACTTGGGAGGCAGAGACAGGCAGATCTCTGAGTTCAAGGCCAACCTGTTCTACAGATCAAGTTCCAGGACACAGAAAAAGCCTGTCTCAAAAAAATGAAAAACAACACTAAAAAAACAAACAAACAAAAAAATAAAACCCTATATTTTATTTTATTTATTTTGTGCTGATGAGGGTCAAATCCAGGGCCCCTTGCATGCTAGGCAAGTTTACAACAGCCACAGCTTCAGACCCCCAAATTATATGATATGTATATAAACACACATATCTATCATATATACATATTTGTGTGTGTGATATATGTTGATATGCATGCATATGAAGGTCAGAGGACAATTTTGTGATGTCACCTCTCCTCCAACCTTTACGTGGGTTCCATGGAGAGAATTTAGGGTGTCAGGCAGGTGTGGCGAGTCCTTTTACCCATGAGTCATCTGGACAACCCTACTGTGGTCTGTCTCCTTTTGCAGCCCTGGGCTGGCTTAGAATTCACTATGTACAACTGACAGGCCTCCGTCAGCCACCTCCCATGTGCCACTGTGGGTGTCACCATGCTCAGTCACGTGAGGCGTTCCTGATGGACCTATGCAACAGGTACATGCCCAGCCCTCCCGACTTTTTTTTTTCTTTTTTATGTTATTCCTGCAAGTTGTCCTCTGACCTCCATAGGGACACAGGTACACCTTTCCCCCATCCACACACCTGTATGCGTGCACAGAAAATCAATTTTAAAGAAGTCAGACGGGCTGGAGAGATGGCTCACCGGTTAAGAGCACTTGTTGCTCCTGCAGAGGACCTGGGTTCAGTTCTCAGCACCCACGTGATGAACCCCAGTCATCAATAACAGGATGTTCTGTTCTTTTGATTGTCTTAATAAATGTTTGGATAAATGTTTGATTCTCATGGTAGATAAACTAAAGGAACAGAATTCATAATTTTGAACTATATATTAGGTGTGCTCTTGTCTGTTGATCATTACTGAAAATTTGGTTCTGCAATTTAAGTTGCTTTCTAGAAATTCTTGGTTTAATTTTATAGAAATATAACACCTGAAATGGATTGGGTTGTTAGCTTATTAAATAATGTTGTTGCTAAGATAAACCCATAAAAAATAATCTCTTACTGATAAAGAGGTCACAAAATTATTTTTCTAGTAAATAAAATACAGATAAATTGTTTGGTCCACATTGTTAATAATTGACTATTTGTGCTAATGTGTTATTTGAAATCTATATTAAAAAAAAAAGATCCTCTTTTTAAGATTTTATAAAAATACTCCAGAGTATTGCCTAAAGTTACCTCTTCAAATCCTATAGAGATTGTATTTAATGCTTTTATAATTGACATATGTAAAAAGGACCATAAAAACAGAAGCTGGTGATAAAATTGCTCAATTATTATTGCTTTCATATTTTAAATGCAAAATGGCACCTACATGTTGAACTGGAGGTTTTAAAAGTACAGGAGAAAAGATGTTTTGACAGTTATCAATGATAAGCAGCCTAAAATTAAAAACAAAATTATATGGGATTGAGATTAAAAGATAATTGGATTCTGGTGCTGGATATATCTATAATTTCACAAGAATCCTGAGATCCCAATTGGCCCCTTAAGAATTCCACCTCTAACCTACAAGGTATCGGCACAGCTCAGACGCCATTGCAGAGCAGGCTACTCTTAAATTGGAAGGATGAGGAAGGTCATGCAGGAACTTTTCAACCCTTTGTGCTACCTGACATTCCAGTGAACTTGTGGGGACGAGATGTGTTAGACGGCATGGGAGCAGTGCTTACTACACAGCCTGTACAACAGATACTAAAAAGTCAGGGCTACTGCCTGGGCAGAGGCTTAGGAAAAATGTTACAAGGAGACCCACTCCCTATGACAGACAAAAACTGTCACTAGAGGTCCTGGGGATACAAGAGGATTAGTGTCTTTTCCATAGGGGTCACTGCGCAGCAGCCTTCGATTATACAACCAATAAAAATCACTTGAAAAAATGATGACCCCGTCCGTATGGATGGAACAATGGCCTTACTAAAGAAAAATTGGAGGCTACAAACACATTAGTTAAGGAACAGTTAGATGCTAGTCATGTCATTCCTTCCACTTCACCTTGGAACTCACCTATATTTGTTATTAAAAAGAAGTTAGAAAAATAGAGGCTATTACAGGATCTTAGAGCTGTAAATAAACCATGCTTCTCATGGGAGCAACACAGTCTGGCTTGCCTGCCCCTATGGCAATTCCTAAACATTGGCATTTAATTATGGTTGACTTCAGGGATTGTTTCTGGAATGTTTTGGCAAACAGGTCCTATTCTATGGGTACATTCCCCAGCTTCTCCAACAAAAACCATTACTCCTTATCCACAGGCTGTTGCTCAGATTATATTTAAGGGAATCAAGATCAATGTTCAAACTTTTGGTAAGGAGCCAGATATTGTGGTGACCCCATACACCCAGTCTCAAATAGCATGGTTGCAAACTAATGATAATGATTAGACCATATTGACCATGCAGGGTCGGTTTGATACTCACTACCCCTCCAATGATATGTGTCATTTTTTTAAATTGCATCCTGTTATATTTCCCAAGATAGTACAGATGACTCCTATTCCTCAGGCCCGTGTAGTATTTACTGATGGCACTTCACGTGGTTTTGCTATGATGGTTTCTGGTAACATAGTAAAGAAAATGAAAATCCAGGGCACTTCTGCCCAAATGACAGAGGTACAGACACTGTTACTTGCTTTACAGATGTTTTCTGATGAGAATGTAAATATTTATACTGATAGTCAATATGTGACACATGCCATTATGCCTTTGGAGACAACAGCCTACATACCATCCATTTCTCCCATTCATGAATATTTATTGCAAATGCAAGGACTTATATGGCCCCGCTCACATAACCTTTATGTGGGCCATATTAGAGCTTACACTCAATTGCCTGGACCTCTAAGTAAAGGTAATCAGAGGGCTGATGCCATTACTCGTATGGCTGTCACATTAGTTTGTTCTGCCTTTGAAAAGGCTACTCAGTTACATCAATGTTACCATCTTAATGCTGGATCTCTTCGTCATTATACAGACATAACCCAGGAACAAGCCATCCAGATAGTTAAATCATGTCCTATTTATGTTGAATTTTTACCTGATCCTCATTTGAGAGTTAATCCCCGAGGACTTTTACCTAATCATGTATGGCAGATGGACGTCACACACATGCCATGCCTTCCTTTGGAAAACTACAATATGTCCATATGTCTATTGATACATATTCTTCTCTAATTTTTGCTTCTGCTCATTCAGGAAAAAAGGTTAAGGATGTTAAGAATCATTGCCTTCATGCTTTTGCTTACATGGGCATGCCAAAATACATAAAGACTAATAATGGTCCCGCCTACAGCAGTTCGGGATTTTCAAAATTTCTGCCAAGACTTTTCTATTGTTAATAAAACTGGTATTCCTTATAATCCTCAAGGACAGGCTATAGTAGAACACTGCCATCGTACCTTAAAAACATATATTTCTAAAGTAAAAAGGGGGAGCTAGGGGCTCATCTATCTCTCCTCTCCATATTCTATTCTTTCCCTTGTTTTATATATTTTAAATTTTTTATCAATGGATTCTGCTGGAATATCTGCTACAGATAAACACTGGAGGGCTCCTGTTGCAAATCATCCTCTGGTGCGATGGAAAGATCTTTCTACTGGCACTTGGAGGGGACCCGATCTGATGTTGGTATGGGCCCGGGGATCTGTTTATGTTTTTCCGCAGGACAATGAAGTTCCTCTTTGGGTTCCTGAGCGCTGCGTGCCCTGTGGCTGCTGCTAAATCCCGACATGACAGAAACCTATTGGGCCTTCGTAAAAAACTCTCCCCTTCTGATGCCAATGGGGATTAAGAGCCCAATATGGCCAGCCTTGACAAACATTAATGTAAGCCTAGGAACTGTAGCCATATGGTTGGATTCTTCAAAAGGTAATGTATGGTAACTTTTTTCAAAAATGTTAAAAATATGTCACACCTTAGAGATTAAGGATAACCCCGAAGGTCAAGGACCTTCATTTGTTAACAGTAACATGCCAGCTAAGTCTTTTCACATTTTACAACCCTCTTCAAGCTGGTATAGTACCTACTTTTCAGGAATGGCTCTGTACAACATTTATTGGCCTCCTGATATTCATCTAGCCTTTTTAAAGATACCTTAAATTTATGAGCCTAAATGTAGCCATTAATGAGACCATTAGTTCTGCTCCTTGTTTGCTGTTTTTGTTTTTGTTTTCTCTATGGTTCTTAGTTGTTCTTTTACAGACCTGCCAGCCTAAGTAATGCTGGGATCAAGAAAAATGGGCCTTGATGGTTCATGTTCCTAGAGCTGCGTCCATGCCAATGGACCATGGCAGTTAGACACAAATGATGCTCACACGCTCCAGAAAAGACTGACATCGCTGTTGCCGTTGTTGCTGTTGTAGCAGTGGTGGCCACTGCTGCTATTGCTTCTGGGATGGCTATTTCATAATTGGGTTCCACAGCTAACACAATAGAGACCCTGACAACAAAAATAGCTACCACAGTTAGTTAATCTTTTATTTTATTGGGCACTATAAATTTAATTCTACATTTATACAT